GTTAGTTTGCCTGTCGTGAGCAAGGGTGCTGAGTGATTGGCGTTGCCCCCACGTGCTCAGTGTTTATCTGCGTGCCGCTCGTCCGTTTTCTGTTTTGTTTATCCGCGGTGTGGTCTTCTCGTGGGGAGCGGTGGCGCAGCGGTTAGCGCTACGCTGCGCTACGAACCCCGGCCACCTGAGTTCGAATCTCGCTCATGGCCAACACCAGTGATGATTATCTGAATCGGTCCTGGGCCTCCCCTAGGTCGACTCAGCCTCACATTAGTACCTGGTGTGTAAATGTCGCCACTGGGGAGACAAAAGCGGCCGGGCGTGGTGCTGGCCACCCACCCCCTCGTGTGCCGTGCCGGCCTTCATAGGTGCTCGCTAACAGCACTTACCCCAACAGTCTGTCAAGGCTATACGGGGAATCTTTGTCTTTGCATTTATTCTAATAACTTATTTTTTTTAAGATGTTGGTGTTCTTGGATGTTAAGATGCTTGTGTGAGGGGTTAAAATATTTTTTGTAATGAAATTTGCATGAATGATGCTATATATATTTAAAAAAATGTATTATATTATTATGATTATTTTGTGGTATTATTATTATGATTTCGCAGCAATCTGAGACTCACTCACCCAGTGTCAGCTCGGGAGGGCCTGGCCTTGCTGATGAGACCCTTTGTATCGGCACCGATGCAGGGTTTGCTTCTATTGAATGAGTTCTGCTGAAGTGACTCCACTCCCAGAAGCCTGTGCTGCTGAAGGGACGTTGTGAGAACTTTCATTCTTACACCATTGGAAACCTCATTTACCACTAACAAAATATGATAATCGTTTTTTTACCCTTTTATCTGGCAACAAAACTGACACCTTTTTTTTTACAAGGAGTCATGTTTACATTTTTACACAATACCTGCGGTCGGAACGCAAACAAAAAACAACAACTCTGATAATGTATGTGGCACTGTCCTTGAAATTGATTGGTCCACACCCGAGACAGTGCATAGATTATCAGAGTTGTTGTTTTTTTGTTTGCGTTCCAACCGCAGGTATTGTGGTCAATGTAAATATGACTCCTTGTTAAAAAAGGTGTCAGTTTTGTTGTCAGATAAAATGGTAAAAAAACAATTATCAACTTTCATCCTTGTTTATTTTTTTGACGCGGACGGAGTTATGTGTGCGGGGAGAAATGTTGTCCACGAAATTTGTTTAGTTTCCAATAATTAATTGTCGAGGCTGCTGAGTCGGCAGCGGTTTGAAAAAAAAAGCACAAATTAACAAAGCAACTCAACGCATCCGTGGGCAACACGGTGGCCTATAAAGACGCACCATTGCCTGAAACGTCGCCGATTATACATCGGGTCGGGTTGTTGACGGGTGGGTAGGGTTTTTATTTATCCTGCCACTTAGTTTACGTGTCGCACAGCCTACAATTGTCCTCTATGCTCACGTCGTTACGTCAGAGATTAAAACAATCTATTGAATCCCAACAGGAAGAAATCAATGAATAAAAATTGTTTTCCAAGACAATGGACATTTAATTACTTTTACAATTCTGAGCACGCGGTTGAAATTGCTTTACTTCTCCAACCTAGCGTCATCGGTTATTGTTAACCACTGGTTACGTTTCAGCATGGGATTATTTCTGGACTTCACTTTTTTGGCTCGCCCTTATTTATTACCCACGTGAGAATTTGCGCACACGCAGAATGCGGGGATTCAAGCTAGGACATGAATGAATCGCTGCGGAATAATACGAACGAGTATTTTTCAATCTATTTTTTTTTTACCTCCAAACATCAACGCCACCGTCTTAAAATAGACGAGCACTGGGCCGATACAATCGCACGATCGTCACGGACACCAGCGGCAGATCAAGAGATGCGTTGGGTCAGTGAGCGACAAGAGAGTGAACAGCATTCTCTCACGAGCTTTCTTCAACAAGGAAACTCCGCTTGTCCTTCGCGCCCGCTCGGGTGATATACCACTGGTGGAACCTCAGCCGCACGGCCCGCTCGCCGCAACAGTGCACGAACTCTAGGTTATTTCACCAGGGCCAATCCCACCACGCTCTTAGCTCTTTTCTCCAGACGCCACCCGGCCACACGTGGCGAGAGCTAATCGAAGTGGCTCACATCGTCACCACACGTAGGAATTTATACCAGAAGCCATATTATTGCATAAGCGCACGCTTGTGAAAATGTGGCGAGGAAAAACACGGGAGGACCCGGAGAAAAATCCTCGTGGCCACGCGGACTTCAAATATAACAACAGGCATCGTCAGGGTCCGAGATCAAACCTACGACCTCCTGCATACCGAACGAGGAAGATGACATCTCACCACCACGGCGCTCCCACGGAACGTGGAACTGATACTTGTTGACGCATTGACACTTGAAAATGTGGGGAAACTTGGTGGTTAAGAATTCGAGGCTGGCGAGGAGGTCATTAGAGACACAGAGCATGTGATGTCTCCGCACGTCTGGCACACGAGAGACACGAAGTTTCTGCTGCTCAATCAAGCAAGGGGCAAATGCTTAACTTCACGGGAGCTCCTCAACACCGACGGTGGAGATTCCATATTTTTATATCAAGGGCCACTTCATTCGCTGTGTGTATGTTGAACTTCTTTCGCAACCGTAAGTAGCCAACCCTGCGAATCGGAGGTGCGGTGATGAGATGATAATTGTTAGCATTCCCGCCACGTTATACTTTATTTTATTATTACATTTGGAGGCGTGGTGGTGTTGGTGGTAATGGGCTGAATCAACTCCTACCAAGGGTTTAATCTCGAGCTTGTGTGAGTTACGTACTCCTTTTACACAAAGACAAATATCCCCCGTATAGCCTTCAATAGACCGCTGTGGAAAGTGGCTTTAGCGAGCACCACCCGTGAAGGTCCGGCAGGGCACACGAGGGAGTGGAGTGACCAGCACCACGCGCCTGGTCACCCTTCTATCCCCAGTTGCTTGCGTTCACAAGCCCCACCGAGAGCGATGGTTCAAATATCCGCGCTGCTACTTATCGCTCGCGGATGGGAATCCAACTCTGGTGGGTCGGGGTTCTCCGTAGGGATGGCGACCGGAGCCCAAACCGCTGCGCTCCCACGGCTGCCCGAGTCGCAGAGACTTTTAAACAACTTTTATTGCCGTAGTAATATGTTTTACCCTTTTAACTGGCACAAAAACTGACACCTTTATTCAAGGCATCATGTTTGCAATAACCACAACACAAGCAGTCAAAATGCAAACAAAAGAGACAACTCCTATAATAATATGCACTGTCCTTGAATTTGATTGGTCCACACCCGAGACGGCTTTTATTAGAGCCTAGTCTCCACTGGTGTTGGACCAGAAGACGCCAAAAGGCGTACAACTCAACAACAGCGCACTATCAGAGTATTGAGGGCTCGGGGTGAGCATTTACATTATGATACCTCCTTTGCCAGTAACAAGATATAGTAATAGGTTTTACCCTTTTAACTGGCACAAAAACTGACACCTTTATTCAGAGGTCTCATAGTGTAAATGCTTACCCCAAGCTCTCAATACTCTGATAGTGCGCTGTTTTTGAGTTGTATGCCTTTTGGCGTCTTCTGGTCCAACACCAGTGGAGACTAAGGGCTCTAAGAAAAGCTGTCTCGGGTGTAGACCAATCAAATTCAAGGACAGTGCATATTATTATCAGAGTTGTCTCTTTTGTTTGCATTTTGACTGCTTGTGTTGTGGTTATTGCAAACATGATCCCTTGTACAAATGTGTCAGTTTTTGTGCCAGATAAAAGGGTAAAAACCTATATATCTTGTTACTGGCAAAGGAGGTCTCATAATGTTACTTTTATTGCCGCCAGCAGCAACAGCACTGGAGGCGATTCCGATATGAAACACACAAAGTCACCAGCAACACAAATAAAACAAACGCTATAAATCCACGCGCTGTGGCGCTAAATGCACCGCGCACAACACGAAATAAAAGCCACGTGGTGGTGGTGTTCATCGCGCACGCCACGGTGACGAGCGAGCGCTTCAGAAGGTGAACACGTGGGGGGTGCCGTCCACGCTGGTACAGAGAGGGGCTTTGCCCGGCTCCCCAGCCTTCGAGGAAGACTCGCTGCACATCACCGACACGCGTGTGTGGTACGTGGCGTGCTGAAGCCAGAGCCGGCCTGAGTGGCAGAGAGGCACGCGCGTGAGCGCACGTCCGGCTCGAGGGACGACACGGGAAGTGAGGATGGACGCCGCTCGTTAGGAGCGGGGACGCGGGCCGCAGACTTACTTCACTTTTTCTTGAGTTTGTTTGTTTGTTTGAGTCACCGGCTCGAGCTGGCGGAGAATGCGGTGAGAGAATCGCGCTTTGGGGTACGGACGCGCGGAGTTGTTCGTGAGCGCCGCGTGGTGGAACCTCGTGATGCGGCTCTTTGTTTTTGTGAGTGCGCCCTTCGTACAAAAAAGAAAATGAATCGCTCTCATCCCCTCAACTCTTTCTTTCGTCTACTCAAAGATGCGGGAGCAGTGATGGCCTTGGGTTTCAAAAAAAGAATGTGTTTTGCCAAATATTGCATTATATATGTGTGTATAAGTCTCTACGTTTCCGAGTTGATTTTGTTGGCCGAAGTAAAAGACTCAAGAGACCAAGGTCCCCAACATGACAAAATGTAAAAAAGATTATAATAAACGCGCAGGCGATGAAGTAAAAAAACAATTAACACTGTCACACGATGAATGTAAAACATTGCACCAACATGTATCGGTGGTACATCGAAGCTAAATGAAAAATTCCCTTCAGCGCAAATCCCTGCTGGCAAATTCACCTCGTGGCACAAAATACAAAAAACGATAACCGCAGAAACGTTGAACACGAAGCAGATATGGGTTGACATTAGCACTACCACGTAACCAAATTAAGATATATTTCCATAGCAATCGCAGGTGAGGTTTTTTTCCATAAAAATGGAGAGTAAAGCATCGAATTGTGGTTTACAGCAGTACGATGTCAATCAACTTGGCCAAGTATAATACCTCAACTTAGCCGGCAGGGTTCCCTTGCTCAAGTGATCAGAGGCATTGCGGGTAAAGCATCGATGAGCCGAGCGCCACCACAAAACGCCTCCGCTGTGGGTCAATGTCTGCCAGAGGCGAGAAAAAACGGAAGCAACTTTTACCATCATATTTCACCATCCTATTTTTACCATCATATTTTTACCATCCTATTTTTACCATCCTATTTTTACCTTCCTATTATTACCATCCTATTTTCCCATCCTATTTTTACCATCCTATTTCTACCATCCTATTTCTACCATCCTATTTCTATAATCCTATTTCTACCATCCTATTTTTCCCATCCTATGTCACCCATCCTATTTCTACCATCCTTTCTCACCTCCGGCCAGCGTTTCCCACTGCAGTGCCGCTTCCATCGGTGTTCATATCTGTTGATGGCTCTGAGCCAGTGATGGAAATTCCACACTCCCATGGCAGGGACCTACTGTGTGATACATGAGATTTTTCTCTTGTAAAGAAGTACAATTTCCCTAAACAAAGCCCATGATGCATTGTACAGACGCAGCTTACCAACGGTGTTGCATGTCGCTTGAAATTGACCCAAAAGTCATCAGAGTCTTCTCCAGCGTACAAACCACGACCTGGCTCTTCTCCACGTACGCACAGATCGAGTGCTTGTTAGTGAGCACCTATTAAGGTTGGCATGGTGCGACGAGTGACTGGTGTGGCGAGTACGACGCCCAGCCGCCTCTGTTTCCCCACTGCCGGTGTCCGCGCATCACACCAGGCACTCGCTGTAAGGCTCATTCGTCATTAGGCGAGCCCCGAACCATTCGACGCATCACTTCGCCGCTGCCGTGGTTGGCAATCAAACTCAGGCCACCATGTTCATATCGCACATTGTGCACACCACTGCACTCTTGCTCCTCATTGAGCCACACACATACTCATGCACACACAAAGACAAAAGTCCTCCATATAGTCTTAACAGACTGTTGGGCCAAGTGCTGTCAGCGAGCACCTATGAAAGGCCGGCAAGGCACACGATGGGGTGGGTGGCCAACACCACGCCCGGCCGCCTTTGTCTCCCTAGTGGCGATGTTTACACATCGTACCAGGTATTCATTTGAAGCTGAGTCCACCTAGGGGAGGCCCAGGACCGATTCAGATAATCGTCACTGGTGTTGGCCATGAGCGGGAATCGAACCCGGGTCGCCAGGTTCATAGCGCAGCATAGCGCTAACCGCTACACTACCGCTTCCCACCCACGTTCACCCACACACATGCGCGCACACACAAATACATGCATACAAAGACAACGACCCCCCCCCCAAAGCCTTAATAGACTTTTGGGGCAAGTGATCTTTGCGAACACCTATAAAAGCCAGCACTGCATACGAGGGGGTGGGTGGTCAGCATCATGCCTGGCAGCCTTTGTCTTCGCAGTGCACACTGCACCAGACACTTATTTGTGGCTGAGTTGACATGGGGGGGGGGGGGGCAGGACCGATTCAGATAACCGTCACCGGTGTTGGCCGTGAGCGATAATCGAAGTCACTATGTCGCCAGGTTCATAGCGGAGCACACTAACCGCTAAACCACCGCTCCTCCACACGCATGCATATACACTTGCGAGCACACACGCGCGAGCACACACGCGTGTGCGCATACACACATGCGCACACAGACATGCGCACACACGCACACACACACGCACACACGCAGACACACAAAGGCGCGCGCGCACACACCCACACATGCGCACGACCCAGTTCCCACGTGCTTTTCTCAGATTAAAGCCATGTGCCCTCCAGCCATGAGCAGAGGTTGCAACCTCCCGTTGCCACATTTCCTGAGGCCTGTAGAAACTCTCTGGGTTTATCCTAAAAAGGAGTCATTGTTAATTTAGAGAGACTCATACGGAGTGCGCCATAGCCACGCTGTTGGCTCCGAAAGTTCATCCGGGACAAAGACTGCGTTTGGAACATTTTAAAACAGGCCGCATTGTATGTAAGTTGGCCTCCTGCCACAATGAAGCTTCACAACTATATGGGACAAGGAGCCATCGTTTCTCTCTGTGTCATCCTCACAAGCGCTCACCAAATTGCGTCACTCTTCTTTGAAGAGTCCATCAATATTTCACGTGCCGACGTGCTCAATCAATAAACGCCAGCCACCCATAACATTTTTTTATGCATACAAGGCTCTGTTTCAGAAAGGTGCTCATAGTCGAAGGTGTGGCTGATTCATTCTTAAGATTGTATTTTTACATGTGAGCATCATTGAATGTACGCGCACAAAAAAGAGTCCGCACACACACAGTACTAATATTGAATACATTAATGCCGCGTGAATTTGCTGACGAATACGCCTTCCGTACAGTTCCTGCGGCATTCGTCAGCAACATTGCCGTACAGGTGGGAGTCACGCAAATAGGATGGCTCCATGCTCGTGTGATCCACCAGACCATGTCTACAAATCACCAGATTGCGGGGGTGCACCGCTGAATTATTCTGCGCGTATTAATTATCTGGAGCACATTCTAATTGAGTGTGCATCACCGTTTACAGGCAAGCATTGGGGGGGGGACGGTGCGAATATTTCGTTGGTGGCCTTGAGGCAGTGATGTAGAATCCACGGTGCATGTGGTGACACTTGGTCCAAGGACAGCACGACACAACTGCCGTGTCCTGCACACATTTTTCCCCGTGGCCACATCTTTGCCGAGCGAGCATGGGGCCACTCACGACACGGACGGCGTTCCACTTTCTATGCCGAGCCGGAGCTGAAACCAAACCGTGATATTCTGGAAACTTCAAATCCATCCCATGTGGCTCAGGCAAAACAGGGGCGAGTGGATAGGTGGTTTAGGGCCTTAACGAGCTCGTTCTGTGTGTGCGGTGTGACCTCAGTGGCAGCCATCGGTTTCTGCAGTGGAAAAATAACCTGAGCTGCGCTGGGCTGGCTCGGCATGGCCCTGGCATGGCGTGGCTCAGTCGTGCAGTTGAAAAGCGTTGGGCGAGGTCCGTCAATGAGGATGAGTATCGATCCCAGTTTGCAGGGCAGGAAGTATGAATTGAATTCCAAAACTCCGTGTGAATTGAAAACCTATAACGATAAACTATTTTTATTTTAGCAGGTAAGGTCCACTGAGCTATGTAGCTCTTTTTTAGAAGCGACCTGGCCACAAATGACAGCTCAACGAAGTGGCTCATCACCGTGTGGAAATTTATATCAGCCAAATATTCTGTACGAATGTTGATTCTAAATGTGGAATGGAAAACCGGAGGGCCCGAAGAAAAATCCACACGACCACGGGGAAAGAGACACGCAAACTCCACATATACAGCAGGCTTCAGGGTCGGGAACGAGCCCGCGACCTCCTGCATACTAGGGGAGGGAGTTAACATCCCCTAGCCACCGTGGCTCATCGAGCTGGGTAGGGACGAGCTCACATTTTGTAAGCTGGGACCGTCCAATGAAAAGCGAACCCGTCTCTCCGGCGATATCTCCTCCGTCTCGCGGGTCCCTCGCGTTCTGGGCGGGAGGGGGGGAGGCGGCTTCCACTTTGGTTTGCACCATCGGCGTTGGATGCGAGCGCTGCCCGCCGTGCTACAGACGTAGCGCGTCTGTGCCCCCGTGATGATGGTGGTGGTGGTGGTGGTGCGTTAACTGATGCCAGATTAATAAAAAAAAAGAATGCAGAATAGCACTGCTCCAATCTTGATTTGAAGCTTTCGTGACTGCAGGAATCCATACTCTTTGGTTCTTTCGGTAAAGTCACGTGGGTATAAATAACATCAAACAAATCAAGACGTTTCTATTGCAACGCAAGCTATCTTCACTCTTTGGATCTTTCGGTAAAGTCACGTAAGTATAAAATAAAAAATAAAGTTAACATGATTTGATTAACTTTATTTTTTATTTTTACTTACGTGACTTTACCGAACGAACCAAAGAATATGGACCATTGCAGCCACGAAGACTTCAAATCTAGAACAAGCGATCTTCATCAGGTGGGAAACCACAGCAAGAAAAAAATAGCTGAAGTGAGAGAGAGAGAGCTGCCGTGTCAAGAGGTGATTTCGGTCCCCGGAGCCACACGTGTGCAGTGCTGGATTGTTGCAGGGGGCAGGCCACGAGTAACGGCACGAGGCAGTGTGGTTGTTCACTTTTACTGCGGCTCTGCAATCGTTAAACGTGTATAATGTGAATAAACACGTAAGGGTTTGATGAAACAAAGTTGTTACTTACGTGCCCGTGCATAATTCGTTTTTTTTTCGATGATTTACCTTCTAAAAGAATGTCCCGCACCCCCAGAAAGGGCGTCACGCACCCTCAGTGAGTGCCGCACCCCAGGCTAAGAGCCGCTGGCTTCAGGGAAAGGCAATAAAAATAGCTGAACATACTTCCTGAGCTCGACAGCATTTAACGAAACACTACTGGATAAATCGCAATTAAAACGATATCCAGTTGTGTGGACGTTTAGCTATATCCGGTGTGTAAAGTGCACGTGTTTTCAAAGCGCGTTTACGCGTACGGATAGCCACTGTGTTGAAGTTCAGCAGTGACTGTCCTGTGGAGGGACTGACCCTTGCCATAAGAATGTGGAATTTGTAGCACTTTGCTCAGGGTCGAGTAATGCATGTGAGCACTGCCCGATATTGATTTGATCGAAATGAGATCCAGCCAAGATGGCATTGATCCAGGATGCTCAATTCACAATCGGAAGTCGAGTGTTCATTACCTGTTAGGGTCTGACCCAGGCCACCCTCCCTCCTGTGTATACATTAAACGAGTACTGTTTCACGCGAAGTCCAACGGTGGAAGCTTACGTCTTCTCGTGACAAGGGCCGCCTTAATACGACAACTGTCAAATTGTCCACGTGGACAACAGGCTGAGTCAACCCCCGGTCCAAGATGTGAACTCACACCTTTCACATGAAGAGAGGAGCGCTCCCACTGCTGTACCCACCCCTCCACAATTAACTTTCGAAAACGATGACGACCGTTTGTGTTATGGTCGAAACGTCGTGAAAATTTTTATTGTTTTATATATATTTTATTATTTTATTGTTTCCCTTCAACGTGACTTTACCGAAAGAACTAAGAATATGAATTACTGCAGCCACGAAAGCTTTAAATCAAAATAGAGCTACAAGCTATCCCAAACGTTGCTCTCTCCCTCTCTCTCTCTCTGTCGCTTCTTGAAACGACAATCATCGGTTGTTGTTTTTCCTGCCAAACTTCGAATCGGGCTGGTGTGGCTCACACAACGATGACCGTTTCCCCGTGACAGTGATGTGCATTTCTGTGGCTGCAAGGTCACGTGATATCAAGTGTGGATTGCGGGCAGCAGCAGCAATCGTTGGTCCCCTATCGGAAGAATAACGCCAGGTGCGGAGTCACCATGTGTCGAATAGGGACAGCTGCCAATGGGGGTGCCCCTTTCAAATCTGCTCCTATCGCGTGTGAAGCGCTCTGAGACTCAAGCATTAGCACGGTTGGCTACGTACGCTGCGAAATAAGTTCAAGGAGGCAAAATGGTGAGTCTAGAATCGCACCGAGACTTCACATCAACGGAGCAATTGTAAACGCGTCCTGTGCCGAGCCCGTGCCACAACGCAAGCCAGATTTTGTTTAGCAGTCGCAAAAAAATCGAGTTCGCAAATCCACAAGTTTGCAGAACTTATCCGAAATGAATTCGAGTCGAGCGTGAGCGGGATGTGGGACAATGTTGATGGGCGCCTTCCCCCG